ACCCTGAAACAGATGGGCAAACAGAGGTTACAAACAGGGGGCTAGAACAGTACTTACGTTGTTACACTATGGAATCACCAAGACAGTGGGTACATTACCTGCCTTGGGCGGAATTCTCATACAACACAGAGTATCATTCCTCGATTGGGACTTCTCCTTTTCAGATTGTGTATGGAAGAAACCCCCCCCCCACCATTCCACCGTATGAAGGTACTACTTCCTCTGTAGAGGCTGTTGATGAATTATTGACCCGTCGAGATGCAGTGCTCCGGCAACTCCGGGAAACGTTGCACAGGACTCGACAACGGATGAAAATCCAAGCGGACAAAAAAAGGAGAGATGTACAGTTCAAAGTAGGGGATCTTGTCTTAGTTAAACTCCAACTGTATCGCCAACGCTCTGTCCGTAACAACACCTTTTCAAAGCTGAGATGACGGTTCTATGGCCTTTTCCCAATCACTGAACGAATTGGTCCTGTAGCGTACCGATTGAGTCTGCCGGAACAGTCCTGTATCCATCCGGTGTTCCACGTTTCACTCCTTAAACAGTTTCGACAAAACCCCTCCTTCCATACCGCACCCCTTCCCCCTGTGAGCTGGGATAATCATCTGGTCACCATACCTGTAGCGGTGCTGCGTACCCGTGTCATACAACATGGAAAAGAAGAAATTTTACAACTTTTAATACAATGGGAAGGGCTACCTCTGGAGGACTCCACCTGGGTTTCCTACGATGAGTTTTGTCAAGCCTTCCCAAGCTTTGATCTTGAGGACAAGATCGTGTCTTCAAGGGGAAAGGAAACTGATACGCGCCCTCGTGCTGAGATGAGCACTGGTACTGAGATGGGTGATATTCTTGAACAAAAAAGACAGAGAGATGGAGCTTCAGAGACGCATGTACCACGTGGCAAGGGAAAAAGGGAAAGAAGGACACCTCAATGGCTCAAGGGCTTCGTAACACCAACAAGTGGCTAAGTATTGCTCTGATTGAAATGGTGTTGGGCTGGACACGCGTAGCCCAAACAGTATAGTTGCTATCAATTAAATAATGTAAATAGGCTTGAGATACCCGTAGACCCATCGTATGTTTCTTTTACAATTGCATTATGTTTCTTCTATATAGCACTAGTGGGGACCACAAGGGGTTTTCAGCGAAAAACTTGTAACAAACTTTCTTTCTCCTTCTTGCTGATACCTTTGCCGGCATCCTCAAATTTGCTGTTGATAATATCAATTTTCTCAGTATTTGTTCTGTAATTGTTGTTTAGATAGTTGAGGCCCTCAACTGAGGCTATCATTCTCTTTCAAAGCAAAAAAAAAAAAAAATTAAAAAAAGAAAACACTGTACATTTCTAACTTATAATCGAAAATCAAATTGTAGATAATTGACATAAATTGACTACTGAGATCATAGAACCATAAAATTGCACCTTAGCGAAACTATGGCCCAATTAATCGATTTCTTCTTCTCAATGATAGGGTTAACGTTGTTTTCTTCTCCGCAACGCTTGCAATTTGGCAATATTGGAACAATCCAAAAGTATGGTGCCATATCATGATGCGTGGAGCTTCTCTGTTTCAAAACGAAGCTGCAAAGTTGAGCGAATTTCTCCATCAGATCAAACTCTATCTTGAACCTTCGCTCGCATCTCTTGCACTGAAAAAGTACAGCGAATATTTGGTTTTGGAAGACATAATTGAGGCTGTAGATTGTAACATAGACACTTCAAAAATTCTAACAAGTGTGTGCAACACTTCCCATATCATACTCTAACGTATATTGCAAAAATTAAAAAAAGGTTCAAAACTTATGTTTCCTTACTTTTTTTAGTTTTGATTATTAGATTCATTAGATTATAATTATCATTTTATTAAATTTAATATAAATATTTGTGATATCTTATTTTATTTTTTTGCAAAATTGATGAGCAAAAATTGACGGGTATTATAAGTTTAATTTAATTTTTTTGTTAAATTATTAAATATTAAATATAATATATATTATATAAATTAAAAATATTATTAAATATAAAACATGTGTCTAATATATCAAAATTTGATATTTTTTAAAATTAATATATAAAAATATCTTATCGTGTATCGTGTATCGTGTGAATGTCGGTACAACATAGATCGTAATTATGTTATTTGTGGCCCATTGAAAAAGTACAGTGAATTAGGCTGAATATTAATAATTTACATATAAAAAATTTTAAAAGACATTTCATGATGAGCCATAAAACCTTATCGCAAGAGATCTCGTTCCCCCTGCACTTTTGCCCGTCCTACACGTGCAAAACGCCTTGTTGCATAAGCAAGGCAAGCCTAATGTGGTACAATTCTATCCTCCTTCTCTCTTCCACATCTAGAAAGTTACCACTCCCTTATAAATACTCATTTTCTCCCTCCAATGAGATTAAAGATGTGGAAAAAAATTGGTTCACTTGTCCTGCCATTGATCTGACCCATAAATATTTATATTTTTTGAACTGATTTAAATACTGACCCACTTTTATTTGGGTCAGTTTTAGACCTGACTTGTTTTAATATTGACTCATTGACCCAAAACATGACTCATACCCATTATGTGAAAAAAAAAAAAAAATCATAATTACATTAAAAAAAAAAGTTAACGTAAAACAATTACGTCAAAATTTTTTACGAAAAATATTTCCATAAAAAAGTTTCGCAAAAATTTTTGACGAAAAATATTTTCATCAAAATTTGTGACTACAAATATTTCTGTAAAAAAATTTGACAGAATATTTTTTTTGTCAATTTTTTTATAGAATCTAAATTTCGTCAAAATATTTCACAAAAATATATATACATAAAAATTTTCGGCGAAACACATTTCCAACGAAATTTTTTTACGGAAAAAAATTTCATCAAAATTCTTTACAGATTTCAAATTTTGGCGAAAGTTTTCGACGAAAACTTTTTCATTAAACTTTTTGACGAAAAAAATTTTCGTCGGAATTTTTAGCGAAACACATTTCTATCGAAAATTTTCGACTAAATATTTTCGTTAAGTTTTTTGTTAAAAAATATTTCCGTCAAAATTTTCAACGGAACACATTTCTGTAAAAAAATTTCGTAAAACTTTTTGACAAAAATTATTTCGATAAAAAATTTTGACGAAAAAAATATTCTGTCAAAATTCTTTAGAAAATCTAAATTTTGTCGAAAGTTTCGAATGAAACATTTCCCTCAAAACAATTTTCATCGAAAATTTTGACGAAACACATTTCCAACAACAAAAATTTGACGAAAAAAAATTTCATCAAAATTCTTTACAGATTTCAAATTTCGGCGAAAGTTTTTGACGGAAACATTTTCGTTAAACTTTTGGACAAAAAAAAAAATTCGTCGAAATTTTTAGCGAAATACATTTCCAACTAAATATTTTCGTCAAGTTTTTTGAGAAAAAATATTTCCATCAAAATTTTCAAGGGAACACATTTCTATAAAGAAAATTCGTAAAAATTTTTGACAAAAATATTTCGACAAAAAATTTTGACGAAAAAAATATTCTGTCAAAATTCTTTAGAGAATCTAAAATTCGTCGAAAGTTTCGGATGAAACATTTCCCTCGAAACAATTTCCGACGAAATTTTCGTCAGAACACATTCCTATCAAAATTTTGAACGAAAAACATTTCGTCAAAATTTTTGACAGAATTCTTTTTTCGTTTAAAACATTTGATGGAAGAAATCATTTTCGTCAAAACTTTTAACGGAAACTAAATTTCAATAGAAAATTTATTTTTGTGAAAATTTTCATTAGAAAAAAAATTTCCTCGTTTTACGACAAAAGGTATTCTGACGAAATTTTCGTCGTTTGCAACGTAAAAATTTCAACGAAATTTTGTGAGGAAACCAAGTCAAAAACGGGTCAGGTTAGATTTGACCCACTTCAGAAACCAAGTCAGACCCACTTCAAAAACCAAGTCAGGTCAGATCCGACCCGGTTCTGAACTAGTTCAACAAAATCCAAACCAAGTCAGACCTGACTTGGATCAAATTAAAGCGGGTCGGATCAAAATACCTGACCTATAAAAACCAAGTGAGGTTGAGTCGAATAAAAACCTGACCCGATCTTACTCATGCACAGCCCTAAAAGAGGCATATGATCTTATCTACTTTCATGTTGTTACTTTACAGAGATTTAGGACCATCGCAGCCGAAAACACACACCCCTCGTGGCAGAGATATCTACTTAGCACATGGGCATCTCATATTAAACTTTGGTCCATATCATTGCTACTTTGACCATTTGAAATAAGTAAGCATATTAGTACTTGTAAATTGATAAATGGATGATGTCAATGTTCCACATTAGTGCGGCATGTAATTATTGAGCATAAGATTGTTACTGTTTTTTTGGAGAGCAAACGACCATATAACATGTTTGTTGGGAATGTATTTATATTTTTGTAGTTGCAAGTTAAACGGCAGCAGGAATTATAATCAATATGTTCCGTGGCAAAAAATTCAATAGTATAAATTATTGTCACAATGATATCAAAAATCGGATCAATTCCATGAAAAAGAACATCTAAGCTATCAAATCGATTCATCCTCCATAATTAAATAATACAACATAGGATCTGACTTCAAATAGTCCTCATAAATGATGATTGAGGTGGGATTTGGCAAACGCTTGATTTCCATCTCAGTTGTTGGCATTACCCATCCGCCGTAAAAGATATGGCAGAAAGAAACAATAGAAAAAAGAGCCCCAACATAACAATCCCCATTAATATATGAAAACACTTATGGTTCTGCTCAATAATTTTTTGCATTTGTGGCTTTGATTTATTTTATGTTATAGTTATTACCACTCAGTAATCACATGCCTCAGGGAGGGGAATAGTGGACTTAAAATTCCCTTAGGAAATATATCTTATATGAATACACCAACAAAATCAATATGTGCAGACTGCATAAAAAAAAATATACGATACATAGTACTTACTACTTATGAGTCCCAATTCCATGATCAAACATTTGAAGCTAAACGTTTGTGTTCAAATTCTCTTGAAAACCATTGAACTGTTCGCTGAGCAATTGGCAACCAAGTCCTCCTCAATCTCTCTTCCCTTCCAATGTTCCCACTAGATGTTACAGCTTCTTTAATTCTATTCTGCTTGCTGATTTCAGCGAACCTTGGAACATAAGCAATCTCAGACATGGATCTCTTCTCAACAGGATTCATTAACGTAAATGAATTTTCATCCTCATTGAAAGTAGAGTGGATGCTACTAGAACCTCCACGAAACCTCTCACTGTTGGTCGATTCCAAGGGAGAGAATCTTGTGTTTGACATGTCATTAAGCATCTCACTATTCAAGAAAAGCATATCTGAAGAATTAAGATCACTCCACCTGCTCCTTGTAACAACACCAGAGACAACAATTTTGTGATTGAACTTGTGCACGAGCTTCCAATTTACACCATCAACTTCTTGCTCAGTGAGAAGTTCTTCTTTGTTGCTCTTGCCCACATCAAAAAAGCTGCTTCCAATATTAAATCTTGATGAGCCTCTCTGGGATGGCACCCTTTGGACAAAGATTTCAAGATTTGTATCCTCTGTTAAATTTGAAGGAACTCGAAGGAACCTTGAGCTGATAGAGTAATTGAAGTTCTTGATATCCTCAGGGTCAATACTGTTCCTGCAAAGAGGGCAACTAGAATGATTTTCAAGCCACTTGTCAATGCAGTTCATGTGAAAAGCATGCTTGCACTTTGGCAATAGTCTTAGTGTCTCAGTGTCCTCAAATTGTGACAAGCAAACGATACATTCTAGGCCATGCTTGGATCCCTTGAGTGAAGAAAACTTGAAAAATGGGAGTGTTTCAATTACTTGTTTGTCTAACCCTGAAACACTTGGTGACCTTGACCGAGTTAGTCCTTGAAAAATCGGTAAATGATGACCATTTATGAGCATAAGTTCATTACGTCTACAAAACCTTACATAGACAGCTAAGAGAAATGTTATGGAAAACATAAGGCTTAGAGCTACTATTACAACCACCTTGTTTGGATGAAGAGGTTGGGGCAATTCTGTCATGGTATTTGCTCCAGTGTCCGGAGCTTGAACATTGTGTATGAAAGAAAGAACCATCATGAACACTAGCAAATAGTTCTCAACAGGGTAGTTACAAATGATATTGAACCTTCATATTTGGAATAGCATCTTCAGAGGTCTCTTTGTCCAATGAATGCTGACAATTTCCAAAGGTTTTTGTGCTTTTTATTAATGTTAACAGGCCCAAGCCAGCAAGGTTTATGTGCTTTGATACAGAGAGAGTCTCACTCCTTCACACGTATCATGCTTGTTGGTTTGTGAAATGCATGCCTTTCACAATTAATTAGGAATATCTTCAAATCAACAACGACAAAAGGATGCATCATCTTGGAACTCTGATTGTCCAATAAATAGAAATAGAAAAATTTGTTTATTATTTTCATGTTTTAAAACAACACATAAAAATAGAAACGAATTTGTCAAGGTACCTTTTTATATTTTCTATTGTCGCATATATCTTTGTTTACATTTTGTATTGAAAGATACATTTGCCTTATAGTCAACTCCTTTTAATGTTACCTACTCTGTGGGTCAATTTGAAATATTGAAGTGCAGAGGTTTTTGAAACACACACTCACGTAAAAATAAGTGGATCTCGTTGTAAAGAGAAGATAGAGAAAATATTAATGAGATTCATTCACTTTTACGCATGTGTTAGAAAAAAAAAATTGCAGAAAAAAAAAATCTAGGGACACCTCAGTTTAATTATAAAAAAAAAAGGTATAAAACTTGAAAATCTCAAATCTTTGTGGATCAAAAAATGAAAATAAAATTCAAACACTTTTATTATGGGTTTTGAAGAAGATATTCTTACCTAGAAACAAAGTGTTTTAACAGAAACAAGATGTTTCAATTGGAATAAGATGTTTCAATCGGCATTGCCTACAATAGTAATTATATATGTTAAAGTTTAGTATTAAATGAAGTATCTATTAGAATTTTTCTCTCAATACGAAATTGAAACATTAGTGTCATCATCATCCAACAACTCCATTGTGATGATTCATCCTGAGTTTCCTAAGTTTCATTAGAAGATGCATGCATTGTTTACAGAAATACCTCTGCTTCATATTTATTTGTTATATTCACGCTGCAACTACTGAAAGATTGAGCGTGTGTCTTGCTTTAAATTTAATAGATTCGGAGAAATGATGGTTGTACATGAATTTTGTGCAAATATTCCCTCGTAAAGTGAGTTATTAATTAAGTCCATATATATATATATATATATATATATATATATATATATATATATATATAGGGGAAGGATATTATAACAACCAAGTTACTACCAATCAATCTCACCGTTAGATCGATTATGTTGATCCAACGGTTATATTTATTTCCATCTTTGTATGGTCATGATTCCCCATATTTAAAGTGAAAACATTAAATATGAAAAATCATAACCATACAAAGGTGAAAATAAATATAAAGTATTAAATTTGAAAAATTATGACCATACAAAGATGGAAATAAATATAACCGTTGGATCAACATAATCGATCTAACGGTGAGATTGATTGGTAGTAACACAACTTGGTTGTTACAATATCCTTCCTCATATATATATGAGACAAGTTATATTTACACATTTTTTTGTTTACAAATTCTTACAAACTACACTATCTTTTCCGGGAGAACACTAGTTACATTATCTTATCCCGGGAGAAGATAGTGCAATTGGTAAAAATTTGCACAAAAAATTTGTAAACGGATCATTCCCATATATATATATATATAGGGAAATTATTATTTCATTTTACATTAGATAACTATCTCATGTTATTTTCACATTAAAAATTGTGCCATCATTTTTCTTTTTTTAATAAGTGGTGGGCCCCATCACATCATGTGTCTATAATAGGAGATAACTATCCTCAACAACATAAGAAAATAGAATCCCCCCACACACACGCATATATATATATATATATATATATATATATATATATATATATATATATCTAATAAATAACATGTCTAACTCTCAATATTACTTTTAAAAGTTATTTTTATTAACTTACATTAATTTAATTAATCAATAAAACTTCAACATATGAATTTAAAATAATTGATATAGTTATTCTTTTTCCAAATATTTATCGTTTACTTAATTAAAGAAAAATATAATTACATTTAACTACAATTGAATATGTTTAATTCATAGATGTAGTATATATACAAGTATCTTTTTTTTTTTGGATTACTTACGTAACTCCGCCTATGCGTGCTTGCATGCATGGCCTGTCCCAAGTCAGGATAAAGGAGAAATGTTAACGTCAGGTGTAGCGAGCCAGCCGTAAAAAATAGCTATATTTATGCGATGAACCCTTATGATAATTCGTTAGGGTGTACCCTTCATAGCGATGTGTTACATCGGACCCCTGGTGCAGTGAAAAATGGGTTTGGATCCTTGCCCCAAGGTAAGGCGCTAGGTCTTCACCCAGATTTGTGAAATGTAGGTCAGGGTCCCAACACGCATATGGGCAAGTGTGGCGAGCAAGCACCGCCCAGGGGTTAAGGATGCGATTGGGGAGCTGAAACATAGGAATCTTAATGGATAAATTGAGGGAGTTAGCAGATGTTTTTGCTAGAAGGAAAATGAATATTGTTTGTTTGCAAGAAACAGAGTGGGTTGGAGAAAAGGCCAAGGAAGTGGATGGTACCGGTTTCAAGTTTCACATGTATAAACAAGAGTCGAAATGGTGTTGGAACTATGATCGATAGAATTTTCAGAGATAAGGTCGTTGACGTCAAAAGGAAAGGAGACATGATTATTCTAATTAAGCTTGTAGTGGGTGAATTAATTTTGAATATCCTCAGTGTGTATGCACCCCAAGTTGGATTGCAATCAAATGATAAGAACCAATTTTGAGAAGACTTGGAGGAGGTTTTGAGAGGGACACCACGAGAGGAGAAGATTTTCCTGGAAGGAGATTTGAATGGTTATGTTAGTAAAAGCAGTGGTTTTGATAGAATTCATGGAGGTTTTGGATATAGGACGACAAATGAGACTGGAGAAGATATCTTGAATGTTGCACTACCTACGATTTGATGTTAGTATACACCTTTTTTCCAGAAAAGGGAGTCACATCTTATCACTTATCATAGTAGCCAAAATCGTAGTCAAATTGATTTCTTCATAGCTAGAAGAGAAGATAGAAGTTCTTATGTCGACTACAAGGTCTACCCTGGAGAGTGTGTCGCTATGTAACATAAGCTAGTAATACTAGAGGTTCGGTTCAACCAAATACTTAAAATGAGGAAGAAGGCTCAGAACCCAAGGATAAGATGGTGGAAGCTAAAGGAGGAAAAATAATTAGAGTTCAAAGAAAGAATGTTGCGTGAAGAACCATGGGAGTTTGTTGGAGGAGCTAATGAAATATAGAATGAGATGGCTGTATGTATCCAAAATGTGGGAAAGAGGGCGCTAGGAGAAAGCAAACGAATTGGATTCCATACAAAGGAAACATGGTGGTGGAATGGAGAGGCGCAAGAAGCAATTAAACAGAAAAAATGCTTTAGATCTTTGCATAAAAGTCCCAATGATAATAATTTGCAAAAGTTTAGATTGGCGAGAAAAAATATAAATAAAGCAGTGCGAAAAGCTAAAGGTAAGATTTTCGCCTATTTGTATAAGAATCTTGGGAGTAAGAATGGTGAAAAAAGTATATACATACTTGAAAAAATGAGGGATAAGAAAAGTAAAGACCTCACCCAAGTTAGATGCATCAAGGATGAAAACCAAAAATTTTTGGTAAGAGATAAAGATGTAAATGAAAGATGGATAAACTACTTTAACAAACTTTTTTATGGGATGGCGCTAATAGCGAAGTGGGCGTGGAGGATGCATTATCTGAATAGAAGATTTATACGCAGAATCAATACATATGAAGTCAATGAGGCTTTAAAGAGGATGAAGACTAATAAAGTTTTGGGACCCGATGGCGTACCTATTGAAGTGTGGAGGGGCTTGGGGAGGTGGCAATAAATTGGCTGACCAATATTTTCAATAAGATTCTTCAAACAAATAAGATGTCTGATGCTTGGAGGAAGAGTGTGCTTGTGCCTATTTACAAAAACAAGAGAGATATCCATAATGGTTCTAATTATAGAGGCATTTAGCTTATGATCCATACTATGAAGTTGTAAGAGAGAGTTATTGAGCATCGTTTGAGGAGAGAGACCAAGGTTTCTGTAAATCAATTTGGATTTATACCAGCAAGATGTACCCCAGAAGCTATTTTCTTGATCCGTCAATTGATGAAAAGATATCGAGAAAAAATAAAGGGTTTACATATGGTGTTCATAGATTTTGAGAAAGCATACGATAAGGTCCCAAGAAAAATTTTATGGTGGGATCTTGAGAAGTAAAAAGTACCATCAAAGTATGTAAATACAATCAAGGATATGTATGATGGGGCTACTACATGTGTGAAAGCTTGTAATGGAACATCAAGTTATTTTCCTATTACAGTAAGTGTACACCAAGATTTGGCTCTGAGTCCTTATCTCTTTGCCTTAGTGATGGATGAACTAACAAAAGACATTCAAGAGGAAGTGTCGTGGTGTATCCTTTTTGCAGATGATATTGTGCTTATTGATGAGACCAAAGATATTGTTAATAGGAAACTTGAATTGTGGAGAAGCACTTTAGAGTCTAAAGGTTTCACGTTAAGCCAAAGCAAGACTGAGTATATGAAGTATGAGTTTTCTCTAATAAAAGATGGAGATCAAGACCCCGTGCATCTTCTTGGTCAATAAGTACCCAACAAAGATGTTCTTAGATACCTGTGATCAATTTTGCAAAAAGGTGGTGAGATTGATGAGGATGTAAATCATAGAATCAGAGCAGGATGAATGAAATGGCGGAGTGCATCTGGATTTTTGTGTGACCACAAAATTTCACCTTAAACTAAAAGGAAAATTCTATAGGACAACAGTAAGACCTGCAATGTTATATAGAGCTGAATGTTGGCCGGCACATAGGCCACAAGAGCATAAAATAGGAGTAGCAGAAATGAGGATGTTAA